TCAATACACAAAAATCAGTAGCCTTCCTATACAAAAACAATAAATCTGAAGGGGAAGAAATAAAAAAAAAAACATCCCTTTTATTATTGAAACAAAAAAATCAAATATTTGGGAATAAATGTAACAAAGAGATGAAGGAGGTATACAAAGGAAACTATAAAACACTGTTAAAAGAAATAGAAGACACAAAGAGATGGAAAGACATCCCCTGCTCATGGATTGGAAGAATTATCATTATCAAAATGGCCATCCTACCAAAAGCAATTTACAGATTCACTGCTATTCCAATAAAAATTTCAATGGCATTCTTCAAGAAATAGAAAAAATATTGATGAAATTCATATGGAGCCACCAAAAAACCCAAATATCCAAAGCTCTCCTAAAAAAAAAAGAAGGGAGGACCTCCACTGATGGCGCAGGTACTTGAGCACAGTGCTGTGAAGCTGTCTACAGCCTCTGCAGCGCAGGTTTGATCTCAGCTAGCCAGCTAGATACCCATACCGCAGGGCAGACCTCTCCTGTTTTGCCTGCTGCTCCCCTCAACAGTGTATTTCAGTCAGTCTGCCTGTTTTGTTTCCTCCTCTGTCTCTGGTGAATCCTCTCACCTTCCCACACATCTGGCCAGTACCCCAGGTCTTGTATGTATGAATAAATATCTTTAAAAAATAAATTTAGGAGAGAGATCAACATGGCAGTGCGGAAAAGCTGCAAGTAAGTTCTCCCATTAAAAAAAAAAAAAAAGTTAATAGGGAGGAAAAGCGGCAGGTCCCAGTGAGAACTGGGACACGGAAGATAAACAGGCAACTGTGGCAAAGTGCCCGAGAAAGAAAGTTGCCATGAAAGGAGGACTAGAAAGGAAGAAAGTTCAGAACCCTGCTACCCACCCCCCCAACAAAGTCAGCACTCTCCGACCAACAGAAAGGAAGAAAACAAACAAAAACAACCAACAAGAACAAACTACATATCAAGCAGGACTGTGAGTGGAAAGGAACTATTTCAGGCATCGCACCCTGTGAGCTGTGCAGAATCGGGCAGGAATCGCTGTGGAGGTGAGTGAATGGCTCTGGGCGCCATTAGGGGAAGATAAGGACTCTGAAGAGACCTACAAATAGCCCAAGGCCAGCCAGTAAGCTTGTGTGGAAAAGCTGAGCGCTCAAAAACCATACAGGGATTGTGTATCGCGGTTGCCCAGGTCCCCGAGCCTGCAACCTAGGCTTGCAGGGAGACGTGCAGGGGCCCTCACTGAGGTGAATGTCCCTCACTGAGTAAGCAGGAACCAGGCGCCCGGACATGGGAGCGGGGTGCAAAAGGCGCCATTTCTGCGGACACTGAACTGGGCTACAGCCCGCGTCCTGGACCTGAGGGCTTTGGAACTGAGACCCAGGGCACAAAATTCGGGCTGTGGGATCCCCACTCCATTGAGGTGTTCCATGCCACTCCCACTCTGTTCCTCTGGACCCACGGAGGGAGGAGGGGGAAACAGTTCTGGAAGGACACTAGGAAAGATCGCTGGCGCCACTTAGTGATAATAAAAAAGATCACTAACACCCTATAGTTGGAAACCAGGGATCCCAAAAAACATCCTCAGGCTCTGAGAGAGGGTGGGCCACACAAACAGGGGTAAGGAGGGAATTAAGATGTGGAGCAAGAACCCATCCTGGAACTGAGAGCCAGTAGCAGGATCCGGGGCGTGGGACATGCCATAGCAGCGGGCACTGCACAGGGTGACAGCCAGCGTTTTGGATCTGATACCCCTGGAACTAAAACCTAGAGTGCAGAAGTCAGGGTATGGGATCCATACAGCTGCGGGCACAGCACTGGGTGAACGCGGGGCAGACACAGGACCCAGCTGAAATAAGAGCCCAGTGTTGAGGTTCTCCCCTCCACCCCTACTCCATTTCTCAGAGAATCACAGGAAAAAGCACAGGTCAGCAAATTCAGATCTCTGTCACCACCTCCTGACCAGAACAAAATCACCAACTAGCTGATTCCCTGTTGGAACTAAGTAAATACAGAGGGAGGGAACTGTAAGGGACAGCGCCCAGCAGAACAGCATCAACACTCTGGTGGAGTTTTGGCCTACCAGTGCTGTTCTTAGTCTGATAAACAGTTTCTGGCTCCCCTAAAGGAGCACTCCAAAGAGATGTCTGCCATATCAGTGGCACAATGTCCCAATGCACAGAACTACTTAGAAAGCAAACAACAGGGCCTCCCCAGTGGCGCAGCAGTTGAGCGCTGGGTTGCGAAGCTACCCACAGCTTCTGCTGCGCCTGATGGATCCCCGGCCACTGGGCAAGGGTCCCACATGGCGCACAGACCTCTCCTGCCTCCCGCTGCTCCCCTCAGGAGTGTAATTCGGTCCTTCTGCCTGCTCTGCTCCCCACTCTGGCTCTGGTGAATTCTCTCACCCTCCCGCGCTTCTGACTGTACCCAGAGCTTGTATAAATAAATAAATAAAATAATAAATAAATAAATAAATAAATAAATAAATCTTTAAAAAAAAGAAAAAGAAAGAAAGCAAACCACAGGGAGAAGAAAAAATATAAATAATGAAGAAAGCCAGCAGGAGAACACATCACAAAAAGAAGTACAGTAACTAGAGTTCAACAATGACATGGAAGAACTTCTCGGCCTATTAGATAGAGAATTAATGATCATCATGATTAGAAAGCAGAAAGAAAATGAAAAGGGAAAAAATGATTTGAGATGAATAATCACTGAACTGAAAAATGAAATTGAGATCTTAAGAAGGGAAAGAAAAGAAACGCAGGAGATTAAAAGATCACTAGAGGAGATAAGAACTCTGGGGAAAGCAATGAAAACAGAATTGATGAAATGGAAGAACAGATCAGTACTATCGAAGATACAGAAATTAAAAGAGCCAAAAGAGAAAAGGAGAGAGAAGTGCCAATGAAGCAGTATGATGAGACTCCTAGACAATTATCAGACTCCATGAAGAGAGGAAATGTAAGAGTTATAGGAATTCCAAAAGGTGAGGAGAAAGACAAAGGAATTGAGAAATTATTCAGGGAGATAACTGAAGAAAACTTCCCAAGCATGATAAAGGAGATAAGGGGGAATCAGGCACCCAAGGCCGGGGCAGACCAGGGGCGCAGGGGAATGTGTCCCCACATTACCATTTTAGAACAGGGATCTCTCTTCAATAAAGACTGATTGAATCTGGCAGAAAGCTCCCTGTGGAGCCAGAGGGAGAAGGTTCCCTGTGCAGTCAGAGGTGAGCTGAAGGCCCCCGCAAGCCCGGTCCCACCTGACAGGAAGTCGGAGCCCAGAGGAGGATCCAGAGATTTGGAACCCAGGGTGCAATCCAACTGCCCCACCTCAGGGAAGTCTGTGGGACTTCAAGAAGCACCTTTGTAACTAAACACAGAAGGAGGAAAGATTCTGTGACGGTGACCATTAACATACTCAAAGTACCACTGCCTCAGTAGACTTCTGGCATAATAGTTTTTGACTCGTTTGGATTGCCGGTTTCTGAAACTCGGAGAGAACACACCAAAAAGATGCCAGTCAGTACCACAGCAGCACAGTGTCCCAATGCAAAAGGAAAATTAGAAGATAGGCAGCAGGGAAAAGAAAAACTACAAGCAAAGAAGCAACACCTCAGAAAAAAGACACATCACAAAAAAAACAAAAACAAAAAAACCACCCACCAGCTTGGAACTACGGTGATTTGGAAGAACTTCTGAGCATTCCAGAAAACGAATTTAAAATTGCCGTGATGAAAAACTGATGAAAGTCTTTAAAGAAAACAATGCTCAGAAGAATGAAATTGAGTCCCTAAAGAGGGAAGTAAAAGAAATGCAGGAGATCAGAGAATTAATGGAAGAACTAAAGAACTCTGGGAAAAATAATGAAAGCAGAATAGATGAAATGGAAGAATGAACAAGTACTCTTGAAGACACAGAAATAAAAAGAACCAAAACAGAAAGGAAAGAGAAGTACTAAGGAAGAAGAA